CACCAGCTGCAAACTATTATGACAAAGCACATGATCACTTGGAAAGTGCCTCTCTGTTCCTTTCTTTTTGTTGTTTTTAATTCAGCTGTGTAAGTATCATTTTTATAGCATGTAGGCCAAAAAAAGTACCAACACGTTCTGTATTTTTGTTTTGTTTTACCTTAGGGAAAGTGGGTCAGCAGCGAAGCTTGCAGATGACGTGAACCTTGAGCGCCCTCGGTGAACTTGTCAGATAACGTGGTCACAAGAGCCTCAGATTAGCAGAACAGCTTCGAGTGCTCAGTGTATTTTAACTGGAAATGCAGTTTCATCGTAGCAGTCCATGCTTGGCATTTGCAGTGAGAATGGAAGAGCTTTATTAGTGTCTTGTTAAACATGACTCTGGCAGCCGCAGGAGGAGCAGGGAGCTGAGGGCGTTCCCAGGATTAGGGGAGAGAATTCCTTGGCCCAGTGCTCCCACTGCCCACCTTCCCTGGAGCCTCTTTTGCTTCTCTCTTCTACACACGAGCTAAGTGGACTCAAGACTGAAGAGCAAATCAAGCTTAAGGTGATTTTTTCATTAGCTTAGAAAAAGCTCATAATCATCATAGCCTTCCAAGCCCTTCTTTCCTCATTTCATGAACTTGCCTTTGCAGTGACCCTTGATGATCTAGGTGCCAGCTTGAACTCGGGCTTTTCTCTTAGGCTGAGCCAGGCTTTATGGAATGTCTGCAGTTCAGCATTTCCTAGGTGCTCYTACAAATACAGCTCCTGTGCWTGGATCGGCTTTCTTCTAGGTGGGCRTGAAAGATTGGGTGCTGTCTTCATGATATCAGGAGATAAAGGTAAATAATTGCCAGTGGTTTAATTAAAATTTGAGACATGTGGAAGGYAGGAATCAACCTCTCCTGGTTGTGTGTTATGTCTAAAAGGTAGCCCAGTACCAGTTGAGTTTTTATTGTAGGATACTGAATTTGGCAGACTTCCCAAGCTGCTAGTAAAGCTTTTTGGTAATTTTTCTTTTTTTTAAATGGTGGCAAGGGTGCATCTTTCTAAAATGGTGAGATGCAAAGGTGTCTTCTGATCATCAGACGTTTGGGAGCTCCCTGCATTTCTGTGCTGGATAGTACGTTTCCAAGCATGGAGGTGAGGGTGGAATTTTACTCATTTAGTGTTTCAGTTGGTATATGCCTGAACACTGTTTTCAGCCTTCAGTCTACAAGACTTAGAGGGCCTGGAAGTAGTTTGGSACATATTAGGGGACTGAAAATTGGAATTTCATGCATATGCCTGAAAAAGGGAAATCTCTGTAGGGACACACATTTAATGGCAATTTTTTAGGGACCTGCCTATCAATAAGATTCAGACATTTTGCTAATATTTTAAAACCGTGTCTTTTTGTAGTTCTTGAAAGTTTACTCATTATCTTTTTTTTTTTTTTTTTTTTTTATGCTGTGCTGTAATAATTGCACCTCTCATTGGGAACGCTACTCAAGGAATAATGATTCTATAAAGAAAAGGGAGTATGGATTGTAGCTGGCATATAGTAAAGGTTATGATGGTTTCTGTGAGAGGCCTAACATTGATCCTTTTAGCTATCTGATTTTTCCAAGGGAAGAAAAACCAACTCTGAGTTAAGTTATTCTGTTTGAAAATTCTTGTGGTTAGTTTTAGAAGATGAAATTTGAAGTGGATACACTAAATTGTTTTTGTTTCTCTCTCTCTCTCTTTTTTGGATGAATGCTTTTAAAAGAAATGGATTTTTCTTTCCCACACATTTCAAATGCTCTCTCAGTTCTTTTTTTCCCCCCTAATGCAAGCTGAAATTGTTAAAGTATTTAGAAGTAAAAATCTGTAGTGCTGAAAAGGCTGTGTTGTGAAGTGTATCAGAAACACCCCGTTAAAACAGTGCCTGCTAATTAAGGGAGAGAGCTCTTGGGAAGYGGCAAGCCTTTAACACGGATCGACCTTCCTCGACCCTCTCAGAGTTTGTTAAAAAATGTTGCCCGCCTAAACTTGTCTGCAGCTTGTTACACATTTTACCCATCTGCTGCACGACCAGAATTAAGCAATTTGCAGCGTGATTGAACTCCAGGTGTTCAGCGTATCCCTGACTGTAGCATCTTGAGTAGAAAAGACCACAGGAGCAAAGGCTTGGCCCMGTTGGGCACTGTGCAAGTTCTGTTGCTCCTGCTGGTGGAAGTTGGGTGATCGGGTCAGGTGTTGGGCAGATAGACTGATGAAAAGATTCAGATTCTTGTGGGGATGTAAGCCTCAATGTCTGCCTGTTGCCTGCCTGCTTAAATCAAAACATTTGCTTTGGACCTCCAGCTTTGATCTAGCTTTAAACCAAATTTCTCAGGTCTTGGTTAGAATYGTGAATGTGCATATGTGTCATTTTTGCCCCAGTACTGATAGCAGCATATTCAGGATCTTCACGTGATGCATGAAAGATGGCAGTTCAGCTCTCATCTTACTGAGATGACTTAGGTGATCACATTCTAGACCTACAGGTGATTTTAAATCACTGCATTAAATCTGTGCCAAAACTGGAATCTCACTTTGAAAAACCCTCCCAGCCTTTGTGGTGAGGACAACAACCTCCTGATGATGGGAAGTGTTGTGCTGCCCTGTGGTATTCGCCTGAGCCTTCAGGCAGCACCTGCAGGAGCTGGGCRCAGTTCTGTTGAACCAGAAGAGCATTGCTGTGAAATCTAACAACCAAACAAGCTGATGATTCCCTATGAAAAAGGTCAGAACCCCATGTTCTGTTTCTTGGGTTCTTTTTTGTTTTCTTTTTGATCATGCTTCTTTTTTGTGCCCGTATGTTATGTTTACATTGGTTAGCTATCACTCCTGCATGCTTGCACCCCTGCAAGCATCACTGCTGTCATAATCTTTGCTACTGAGGTGGAGGTAGAAGGTTAAGAGGTTCTATTTTCATCAGAGCTCCAAGATCCCATTGCTGTTGCCTGTTTATAAGTGAGAGGTGAAAAATGCATCCTGTATCCAGTACCTCCCCCAAATTACCCCTTTCCATGCCTGGGTGAATCTTACTGTCCAAATTATCATCTCCTCCCAGTGACTTTTATGGTGCTGGGGACTTAGCAGTAGCAAACGTGCACTGTCCTGAAACTTTGGCGGGTATAATAAGCTTAGGTCTGCGAGAAAATAACCAAATTACACAAAGCAGAGAGGCTTGGACAAGGGCAGAGCTGGAAAGAGGCAGGTCAGTGAAGGGAACAGCTCACCTGGGAGGTTGTGCTGTGACATGGTTCTTTGCCAAAGATTTAATGCATTGCAGGGGACGTTACCCAGGTCCTTGGGCTGAGCCAGCAGCCAGTGGTTGACAGATGGAGACTGGAACAACATGTGCCCTGAGCCAGAAAGGTTTGTAACAGTCATCAGCATTTAAAATGGCTTTAATCACCTAAATTCATGTATTGCCTTTGTTAGGATTGTAATTTTAAATACTTATTGGAGCTGATAATGACCTTCTTGACTGTGTCTGCAGAAGACACAGTAACAAGGTCAATGTTGCTGAGCAAAATTATGCAGCACAGGTGGTTCCAAAGGGAGAGACCTTCTGGTCTCATCTGGTCTGCTGCTCCTCCGCCCCCCAAAGGTGAGATCTCCTTGGTTATGCTCACTTAAATATCCAAAACAGGGAGAGTTTCACTCCATTTCTCTGGAAACTGTTTCACAAGGTAATAGACATTGCTACTGAGGTTATTTTCTTGCCACTCGTACTGTATTTTTCCTTTTATAGTTTAATTACTCCTGGCTAAGCTTTTGTCTTTGTGCTAAACGGTTGTTTCTAGGGGAGCGAAACATCAACATTGAAGAAACCTCTAAATTCAGCAAGACACAGATTAACCCTAGTATTAACTATTTTTGTTTCTTTTAAGTTGCCTTTTAGCCCCAGATCTGTAGATATTTAATTCTTTCCTTCAAAAAGCGTCATTCTATTTTAGTTTTTTTCCTCCATCTGTAAGTTCATCAAAGAAATTCTGATCTCATTGGGGAAGAGATAACGTGGGAAGGCATATACTAGATAAAAATTAATTTTCTGTGAGTTATGAAAACAAGAAGACCTGTGTTCTTATTTAGGATTAGATGAGATTTTTAAAAAAGCAAGATATGATCAGTCCGTCTCCATCCCCAACTTTAGAAAAGTCTCATGTCACAGCTTCTCAGTCCCAAAGGTGAATACTTATTATTCTACAAATATGTGATTACTCCAGATATAAAACTACTTTAATAACAATTAAAATGTACTAATTATTATAATTACCTTATTATTAAGAAGTGCTGTAAAGATCTGGGTTATGTTTACTTTCATAGGAATTTATTCCATCCACTGAGGGATATAACAAATGTATGGACATCATACAACATTTGCTACCTCTCCTGTTTCCAGTAATCTCCTCTCTCTAATATTCTGCCTTCTATGTTTTGTTCACTCTGTGAAGAGAAGAATAAGTTTGAGTCATGTTACTCTGTAGACAGAGATGGCTTCTTTAGCTGTTTTTTTGTAGTGTGACTTTAGAGATAATTGTCTGCCATGGGCTCATTCTGCAAACTTCAGGACTGTCACTTTAATCAAGCTAAACCTAATTCTCTCCGTACTCCCTGCACCTGGTTGTGATAACAATAGGGATGTGGTGGAAGTTGGACCAAGAAGCTCTTTTGCTTTTTGGCCAYGGGTTGTTTTGTATTTTGCTTGACAGCTGTAACCAGAAGGTGTGTGCTTTGAAGAGGTACTTGTGCTCAGATGCTCTATGTTTACATTTTTACTTAAGGTGATAGCAAGTGAATGAAAGCTTGCTGGAGTTTTGCTAGAATATGTATAGAATTTGTCCATCATTTCAGGATTTCTAACGGAATTCTTAAATGGATAGATTTTTTTTTTTCTTTTTTCCATTTCTTCTCTCTGATTTGAACATCTTYGGTACATTATGTGTTGATAGTGTTGATGGACAAGTAATTTACAGTGATCTCCTATGATGCTTATTCTATAGCTTCCTGAGTTGTAAGTGACATGCTGGCACAACTGAGCAACTGATCATCAGATCCCGGCATGGTGTTCAACATGGCTTCTGAGGCGGCCCAAAATTTCCTTCAGCCGCTGTCTTCTTGGATCTCTCAAATATATGAAGCCATCCAACAAGCAGGAGACTCTCTGTCTGCGTCACTGCTGAGCCTGAGYGGAGCGGGTCGTAAGTCAGAGGGTGAGAAGAAGAGCCAGGACTTGGAGGATAATGGAGGAGTTGATGAGCTTTACTCTGAGGACTCAGAAGATGAAAGCCACCTGGACTTGTGGGACGAGGAGTACTTGCATCCTGGAGTAGATGGTCACGTTCCACTCACAGGTCCAGGTTCTGCTCCTCAAGGTCTCCCTTGTGGCTCCGACGTGGCTCTGCAGAGGCCAAAACGGATTAGAGATGCCACGGGCTCAACAGAGCAGCGTGATGAAAGCCCCAGGCCTTTGGCAGCCAGTGAATCGCACTGGACTAGTGAAGATGTCCAGCCGCTTGACGAGCTGCCTACCATTGCAGAGGAAGGTCTGCCCCGCGTGAGGACGAGGGACCAGCAGCCCAGCATCGGCACGAGTGCCTCCTTAAACCATGATAACGGCAAGGCAAGCTTGGCAGGTAAGCAGCTAGCAAGGGTTATCCAGGCCTCCCTTAGGGATTAATTTGATTTAGTTGCTAATCTGCTTATTTTGTCATCTGTTTCTCACAGCTAAAGAAAAACCCCAAGAAAAACCCCAAAGAAAAATCCAACCCTTCCCCGTTGTGTTTCTGATTCTCCTCTCTTTTCTGAGACTAATCTCACTGAAATAAATGGAAACCTCCGGGGTGGAACAGCACGTGTTTAAAAGGCAATCAGGCCCTGTTGCTGTAGCAAAGAGTAGTTTGTTCTCCCCATGTTTTGCTTCAGGTATCGGGACCCTTCAAAGGGGATATTTAGCCTTAAGCTTTTGCTTGGAGAACCATCTGCCTTTGCGTCATTGCTATTAAAGATATATATAATCTCAAACCTTGTTTCTTTGTGCCAAGAATCTCAAGATGTTACTGTGCCATGTGCTGTGAAATGCTGYACTAAAAAGCTAGCCGTATCTCATGATTTTATGGATGAAAGGTTCCCAAATTGCTTTCTTCTCCTCCCACCTCCCCCACAGCGTTTCAAATTAGTCTGAAGAGGACGGTAGGCAGGAGACTGGGAAGGAGAACCAATTTTGATTTTAGTTTCAAATAATTTAACTGCGATTCAGGATCACTAAGTGGCACGGGCGGCTTCTCAGGCACTTGTGTTGGGCTCGGTCTCAGCCACCTGACTCCTGCTCAGCAGATATTATTGTAAGTGTGGCTTGAGGATCCTCAGGTCCCAGAGGGACTGGTGAAGGCGCATGTCCCAAGAGCATGATGCAGGACAGCAGCAAGCGCCAACTGATCCCATCTTTGGGTTGTTGTGGGTTAAAGCCCCTCTTCAACTACAAAGTTGTTTCTGCAAAGGAGGAAGGAGAGGGGGTCTAGATATGAAGCTGGTAAAAAGCTTGATGCTCCCTAAAGATCTGCAGAGCTTGGTTTCAATATCTGCATTATTTTGTTGAAATAAGAGGTAGATGCTCTTGAAAATATTTACTTTAAATTGACAAAGAGTTTTTCATCGCTTTTGGTTTCTGGAGAAGTCCTGTTTACCTAGCCTTGCTGTGCAGCCAGCAGAAAATCAGCCTGTTTGGCTTTGCATTTAATAGGAATAGCAGACCGAGGGGTATAAACCTTGCGGGTGTTCCATGATGAGTGTTAAAATTAGCTCCTTTTTTTATTGCTGTTCCTCTCATCGTTACGGCCAGGCAAATAATTGGGAAGAGCTTTGGGACAGGCTGTTTCCCAAACTGGGGCTGTTCATGCCATATCCCAAATGAAAAAGTGGATTCTCAGGTTAAGCACCCCAGAGCTGTATCTGTTAGAGTGTAGAGCCCAGCCTTTCACCTTCCTGATTTCTTCACCTTTTGATATTCCCAGACCCCTTCCCAATGCCCTGCTTGACTGGTATCTTGATGCCAGCATCAGTGCACAGGCCCTGAGGCAGAGCTGAGGGGCTAGATTAGCTGTGTGTGTATGGATCCAGTCCACARTGCGCACGTGGACTTGATGGAGCTGAATATCCATCCACGTTGCTGCTTGGCTCTCTTATTATCTGTTTTACTTGGCTCTAGCCTGTCTGGAGGCACCATGGGCCAACAGGCTGCACCTGCAGAGCTTCCCACACTGACATCACTGGTGCCAGGAGCTTCCTGCTTCCACACCAGGATCTGTAGAGGCCTTTTTTACACCAGAGGGAATGTCATTCCAAATGCTTCTCCATGATCTTTTGTCTTTTTCTCTCTGCAATGCACTGTGCAGAGGGCCATCCAGTACTCTCAAGACTTGATAGTCATGAAGTTGCCTGCTCGAGGGTCTGAGGGCTGGAACACGACTCCTTTTGCTCAGAACTAAGTTGTGTAATACAGGGAAAAAGGACTGAACTGTGCTTTGAAAACACCTTCCATGAGAACGTTGATGTGGAAGAACAGATTTTGCTCTTGTAAGTGCTTCTCTTCCAAAACACGTGTGCTCTTTCATTTTCACTCCTGTAGATTCTTCCTCTAAAATGAGGAATATGAACTGTTCTGATGATAACCTAGACACATAGAGAGGTTGTAATACCCTGACAGCCTAAAATTTCAATCACGGATAAAAATGATCCAGAGAAGGTATTTGAGGTATCCCTATATCTGTTAGCTTTGTTACCTAACCCTAAGTGACAGTGTAAGGGAGCATATGGGCTTGCTGACATTCAGCAAAGGTGCTCGGTAGCATCAATAATAGCTTTAAACTTTTCCTTCCCCTTTGCTTTTGGCATTTTTCCCCCCATTTCTGCAAAATACACGTTTCCTGTTTATATTCTTTTCAGAACATTGCATCTTGACTTTATTTCACTTAATGTACTGTATTTCTCTCCAYAATAGAATATTTTAAAGCTAAATTTGCACAAAACAGTAGCAATGCTGATTGCTTTTTGTTGCCATGGAAATATTTCTGGGCACTTACTGAAGACCTGGTTGCCAATAGTAATGTAACAGAGAAAATAGACATGCTTCATTTAGCAACCACTGGTGATTAAAGAGCCTCAGAAACCTGTTACAAGGTCATTCCAATATATGGTTTATTGGGTTTAGGGGGAGGGGAAAAGACCCGAATGAGAAGCTCCTTTTTAAAAAAAAAAAAAAAAGGCAAAAAAAGAGGAAAAGAAAGGCACAAAACCCAGTTGCCATCCCCTGTTCTTCAACTTAGAGCATGCTTCTAAGATGAAAGAAATTAGAATTGTAGTTATAAAACATTATTATCACTTTTCCACTTTATCGGATATGTTTTTTGATCACAATTTTGCCTCTTAGGAAATGTTTCCTCCCTCCCAGGGTACATTGTCTGAGAGCCCAAAGCAGCACATATGTGTCTGAAAAACACAATTTTTTTTTTTGAATAGGAATCTAATAAGGTGTTTGAGCAATGAAATCTTTGGGTTAAGTCAAATGCCTGTCGGGTGGTGCAGGGCTTGTTAATCAGGACGCAGGTTTGGCTGCTGATGAGACTTAGTCAGTACTTAAAAGATGCAAGTCAAACTGTGCCAAGTTTTCAAACAAATGCAGGAAAAGTTCCTTACCTCAGATGCTTTTGGTCCACGGTTGAGAAGTGAGGAGAYAGTTGAGCAGCAGATATTGCAAGGCTGCCTGGATGGTCTGAGGGGGAAGAGGCCTCTTCATYCATGCAGTCTCCTCTCATTATTTGCAAATCGTATCATTGCACATTTTGCAATTGCAGAGGAACTTGCTCCTGCAGCTTCTTTGAGACTCTCCTTCATCATCTCATCTCAATGTTACTGAAAGAGCAAGTCTTCTGCCCTAGCAGGAATGGAGAGAAAGGAGCCTTTGCCCTCCCCAGTGGCCAAGAYGCTTCTAATCAGGTGGCTGGTGATGGCCACTGAGAGTATGGCTGCCAGACCTACAATTGGCTCAAAAATTGGGAAAACAAAGAAACAAACAAACAAAAAACCCACGAAAACCAGTGGCACCACAGGCCACTTGTAAAAATAATGTGCTGTCAGCGAAGGGGAAGTCTGGTCAGGGTGCCTGTTTCCAGGCCCACGTCCTTTGCAAGTAAAAAGCCAAAGTGACCATTGAGTAGACACAGGAAAGGTGTGGAGACAGGGGAAAGCAGAGCTGCAGCCTTGGGCTCAGGAGTACTTTTGTGCAGCATGTTTGTGATTGAAGAGTCTCTTGAGCGGCCTGACTGTGTTTTCAATGCAGTTTCAGATGAGATTTTTCAATTAAACATCAATGCTAGCCAGAGATTGCRTTTTGATCACCCTAAAATAATTTTTAGACCTTGGAATCCCGGGCAGTTTGACATCCTGATAGGAGTCTTGCCTGGGTGACTAGTCATCCTCACTGCATGTGCAAGAGGAGGCACGTGGAGGCTCTGCGAGTGCTTAAAACCAGTAAGTGCTGTTGCATTTACTTGCTTTGGCCTCCAGCTTAAGAGGGGTCATTGAATTTTGCCAATAATTGCTGTAATAGAGGGAATTATTCTTTCTGCTGWATGGGAGCACTCCTGACCTCAGGAAATGATCATTTATACAGCCAGGAATCCTTYGGCCAGAAGCGAGTTTTCATTAGCTCCTGCAAACCACTGCAACGAAATGCCCGTGTAATAAAAAGACATCGTGTATGTGATAAATCCCATTGCTGCTTGAACTTGAGACGAAAATAAACAGAGGGCCCGTTTCTACTTAAAGATCTGAAGTGCTGGTGACTTTTATCACCGATGTGGTTATGGAGCCCGACGATGCTCCAGGGAGGACGTGTGTTTGGGAGCCCTGCAAGGACCCCGTGCTCGTTGGCTGGGGTGTTTGAAGAGGCTGCACGGAGTCAGCAGCACCGCTAGGACCGAGTGCGGGAGAGCCATGAAAGGCCGTGGAGAAAAGCAGCTTCACGGGATGTGTTCGTGGCTGCCCGGGCAGGAGGAAGCGCTGACGTGCCTGGATGTGCAGCTGGGCTCCGAAGGGTGCGGGAAGGGCCTGCAGCTCCCTGGATGGAAGCCCAGGCGCGAGTCTGCTCCCAGCACTGCTCTTTTCCTGGGAAATTTCACTGGAATGGGCTTGTGCGCACGCTTTTGTCCTTGCAAATGTGGCACCGTATGTCTGTCTRTTTTTTTTTTTTCCATTTAAAATACTGTCTTTTCCAAGTTTCGTGTTATAAGGAATTAAGCAGCAGTGAGAGCAGGTGATGGCCCCGGSTGGAGGGTGTGCTGCGGGTTGTCACCTTTGCAGCTGGGGGAGTGATGGCAAGGAGTGGGTCAGGACAGAAGTTGTCAAAGGCGATACCTTTAAGAGAGCTTCCCCTCCACCTCCACTGGGAAATAATGTGATTTTACACACGGGGTCTTCACAAGCCCCAGGTGGATTCATTTCCTTGTCTGGCCAGCAAAGCCCAGCTATCTYGGGCCTGAGCAAGGACGTTCTGCTCAGGAGTGTCTGTCTGTCACGTGGGCTTGCCATCTAGAATGTTGCATAAGCCAAAGGGAGGAAATCTAGAGAAAGATTTATT